CCAGGACGCGTGACTAAGAGTCTGATGACCGAGCAGGTAATCGAAGAAATGGGTCAACTGGTCCAGAACCATCTAAAACTGATCCAACACCAGAGCCATAGACCAATGGATGTAAGCCTGATCATCAGAGTTGGCATGTTCGACTGCAGCCATGATCGCGTCTACAGCCGACAGGATGCAATTAATAAGGCCGATCCCAGTTTCAGAAACCAATACCATCCACACACAAAGTGTGGGGTCTGCTGCAGAAAACATCATTTTACAGTGGGTGCAAAACTTTCTCTTCCTAGATGGGTTATCATTCTTGCCCATGATGAAGCAGTAGAAGAATAACATAGAAAAACTTCTGAGAGATTGCAGTGTACGTCCACACCAGTGTGCGACAAGAAAGAGAGTAATCAAAGTAAGATAATCACGTCACAGGTAGTGGTGCATGCTGCATGCTTCCTAGGAGGTTGCCCAGGTGCTGTATAACATGATAAGGGGGCAGCATGGAGCGCACAGGTGTATGGACAAGTGAGGCCAAGGATTTTTATTTGCAGTTCATTTCCACTCAGCAGGCTGAATTGAAGAGAGAGAGTACAAGACTTGAGATAGGATAAATATATAAATTTGTTCCTTTTCAAAAGGGTTTCTGATCAACCAACTTCAAATTACTTAAGTAACCGTCTGACACAAATATCTTGGCAGGTTCTTATATTCTCACTGCTGTGACAGTATAACTTGTTGTCACAAATAACAGACCCATTCTACAAAGAGTTCTCAGCTCTACTACTACTGAGTACTACAGATGAATGCGTAGGTTAAAAATGAGACTCAAGTTGTAATCATCTTGGTGCTGAGATATGTTTGTGGAAAAGTGGCATGAGACCCTATCCACAAAGCGTACAAAGCACTACCCTATTCGTAAGCCAACGATATAGTACAGAGTTACGATACATCGCAATGCTACGGCTGCTTCGTGGATCGGGAACCAGATGTACAAACCTGCCATATCTGTTGGCCCAGTATCCAGCACTGACACCGCCAATCATGCCACCGACTGCATACATGGCAACAGTGATGGACCACAGCAGGGTCTTCAGTGATGGCTGCATGTATTCCCCATTCCGATCAAAGTAGGTTTCATTGTAGAAATCCTGAATAATCTGAAAAAGGCAATACCAGAATTCATTTGGATGGCATTATCATCTTCTTGATTGTGAGCAGTGTCTGTTGAAGGCCAACACAAACATACAGATTTTCATAAACTGCTAATATTTCCCAAACAAAATGCTTTCTTTACTGTTAAACCCAGAATAAACTAATTTCTTGTTTTTCTAAGTTTTCTGCAAAAATTGGGGATAAACAGAATGAGATAACAACTGATTCTGAATAAGTTCTTGTTTGAAAAGGAAAAACAAACTTTAATCTTGCTGTAATATTTATTACAGATTTAGATGCACGTACTGCACACTCCACTTTTCAGGCATGCACTTCTTTTGAGTATGATTTTACACCGCTTTTAGCAATATTCCAGCAATATCCTGGTGGGGAACACCTGAAATGGGCTTCATACACTGTACCCATGTGGAGAATAGAACCCGGGTCTTCGGACCTTTAACCATTAGGCTACCCCACCACCCGCTATATTTATTGTATTTCAGTGCAATCAGTGCACCCTTTCACTTTACACACAATCTCCCTATTAATCAAGCTCTGTACCTGTTCTGGAGAATTGACGACTCCTGTGTTGTAGCCAAACTGGAAGGATGAACCCAAGGTGATGGCTGCAATGGCCAAGGCCAAGTGGCTGTTGAAACCCTGCAACACAGTACATACATTCCCTCAAGAAATAATGACTGATAACGACTTCACAATCTTCCCTAAGCAAATCTATTGCATAGGTGCTGAACATAGCGTGTTTTCAATTAAGAGTTAGCTCTCATGGAGAAATAACTGTGAAAAAATGAACTGGGAACCAAATATTTACACAGCAATTTTTCTGATCGATCACAGAAAAACATTAATGACAATTATTATGGATATACAACTTCTTTTATTCTGTGGAGACGACGTTTCGACATAGGTTCTAATGTCGTTGTCAAGCAAGTGATACATGAGTAACAAATTGAGAGAATATATACAGGAGTTGTTGTTACAGTAGATAATGAATGAGTCGTTTATACAATAGAAGAGGTTGATGTACAAGGTTTGTATGAGAGATTGAGTAAATTGATAGGAAGCCAGTAGGGTGACATACAAGGACTGAATTAGAGCTTATACAACAGATAGGAAGCCAGGTGGATGTTTATACAATGGATGGGGTTGATGTACATAGTTGAATTGAAACAGATAATGTACAAAAGAAATATTATTGATTACTTTATCAAGTGATGGTAGGCATTGGGAATGTAGTATCCTTCATCTCTGTTGAGGGTGGGTCCTATCTTCTTGATGTGTACTGCTTCCAAAAGTTTACAAATTTTGTAGTCTGAATGGTTCTTTACTGTGGCTTTGGTCTTGTCCCATTTGATGGTGTGATGTGTTGAAACGTCGCCTCCACAGAATAAAAGAAGTTGTATATCCATAATAATTGTCATTATTCTTCATCAACTCAACTTCTAAAATGCCCTTCAAAGAAGAACACAGAAAAACAGCTATTGACATTGTGATCAAAGTCTTTTTCTGGTGTATTGCAATGACATGAAACCAACCATAACACCAAGTCCTTTGGCACAATCCATTTAGTCCCATTTCTGACAAGCAGAGATTACTACTATTGCCAGTCTGACATTAGCCCTCATAGGATAGAATAATCATTTGTCATTAAATTTAGATATATGTCCTAGCTCACTTGATCATCATAACAGTTGAGTGAGTATGGTTTTACACCGCTTGTAGAAATATTCCAGCCATATCATGGTGGGGGACACCAGAAATGGGCTTCATACATTGTACCAACGTGGGGAATCAAACCCAGGTCTTACCCAACAGCCCTCATAACAGTTGAGACTCAGGGTGTAACCATTGATTTTCAGTGAGATTTTTGTGAACCCAAAGAAAATTTGTGTATCACTGTGAAATAACTGATCATGCATCATGTTTTTACACAAATCTGTATCCCAAATGTACCATCAAATTAGATCCTTCATCCTGTTTTAGGAATAATGAGATCGAAATTTAATGCATGATCCATGGCAAAACTAGATGATGGTACAGAATTTCATGATAATGACACTTAGAGCTGATGAATGTTTCATGCTGAAGTCAATCGTTACATAGTGAATATCACAATCTGTCCATAACTGAATATAATGCAGAAACTGATATGCTTAATGCAACTGAAACAGCAAAATGACAGAAATGTTATCAATAATACATTCCAACTTTAATGCATTAACTTGCTTCCACCAGATAACAGAACATTATCATTAGGATTAGCAAGATGTGAACAATGTTGATACAAGCAATAAAACTAGAAATGCTATTGGTATTTGATCTTCTATTTTACTGAAATGACAAGAGAAAACCTATATGCCTTGCATGACCATTGTTTTCCTTGGTCAATAGGCAAATATCTTGAAGGACCAAATGTAACTGATAACAGAAGTGTTACTCTGATAACTGGTGGCCTTCAAGAGGCTGTAACTGTGTCAGCCACTGTCCTTTGGAAAGAATGTAAACTCTCTATCAGAAGAGATATTTGCATGTACTATTAATAAGGTCAGCTGCACACTTCATGAACACTGACCTCGACCTACTGGCAGGAGAGCTTAGCTACCTGTACAAATGTTGATTTTTCCTAATCTCATATATACCTGCACAAATTATTTATAGTATATATGTTATTTTTCTGGATTAATTTTATCATTTTGAAGCAAACACCATGTTTCATTAATATAACTGAAAATCCATATGCTATGCATGGCAGTATGTTTATTGAAGCACTGCAACAATAAGCAATCTTTCAGGCAGTTTACTTACATCTTGAAACCTAAAACTGAACTTGGAATACACTGAATGTTACAAACAAATTAAGTTGGAGTTATATTGCACGTTTTGCTGACAGAAAGGGTATTTATTTATGAAGTATTGCAGACCTTTTTCAATGCACCAAAATGTGCATATTCACCATGTTAACTTTTTCTGGTAACGCTTCTAAGAAAATGCATGCACCTTCTTTAAAAAACACAATTGTCAAATGATGTCAACCATTCTCTTCCCACAGAGGTTACTCCTGTCATATCTTCCTACATAACCTCTGTTCTAATACGGCCATATTTCCCGGTCCTCGTAAAATCCCCTAGCGGCAAAAGATCGCAACACGAATTATCTCCCTTCTTTCTATCCAATCAGAACACGTGTTACATCGACTTAGATTCAATTTGACTAACACAAGCAAATGCGGGGCCACAAATATCCCCCATCTGCCGGGGAATTGTGTTGATGTTACACACAAGACGTTTAATGGCTAGCTTGTCCGTTGTCAACGAGGGCGATGGAGACGCCATTGATACGCCATTACATGACTGAGTTCTGTCTAGAAGAAACGTTTGCGCATCGCGCTCGGGAAGAGGTTCTAGTTTTCCCGAAGCATACGGAAATTACCGAGGCCTTGCGAATGATCACTTTTGAAACAACGTCGCTGATTGCACAACTAAATCGGCTTGTCTCCAATCACGAGCCTTGAACGCTGACACCAAGAAAGGGTCGTATTAGAACAGAGGTTATGTAGGAAGATATGACAGGAGTAACCTCTGTGGGAAGAGAATGGATGTCAACAGGCTTTAGCTATCACTGGTAATGAGGTCGTTTCTTGTGTGACATCAGTTCGACCTCACCGTTACGTCACAAACTAACACCAACTAACAAGAAACAAACCCCTAAAATTCACGAACAACAAACATACTGCTGCTGGTGGTTGACTATTATTGGGGAACATTTTTTGGTGTATTTATAAAAGAAATGTACGGCAATGCAGCGATTCAATATTTAACAGCTCAATTTCTAATACGTACATGCTTAGTTTTGGCCTTGCCGACACTATATTCATCATATTCTTTACCCCCATCGTCATCACTCGAAGACAGTAATGGTTTGCGTTCTTGTCTATCTGCCATTTTGACAGCACCCCATGTGATTGTCACGTGACGTAAATATATAACGCGATGTTCCTTGAGTTTGTAAACTTACGTTTTTGAGGGCAATCTTTCATTCGAAATAAAATATTATATGGTACGTATACAATATTTTATAATTGTGTACCTTTTACAGATTTTCTAACATATCATTCAGATGTATAATGTTTTCTTTCTTTTCGATTGTTGTTTATGTTTTCAATATACCGAAAACCGGAAGTTTCTCAAATTCGTGTCATCATGGCGAGCGGAGGATTGCCGTCTGACCAGCAAGAAGAAGATGCCTCGGAATTACAGTTCCCGAAAGGTAACCACAGAAGACATTTTGACAAGAGTGCAGTTTATGACTGTAGAACCCAATCGCGACTGGCGGCTAGATTTATGAAGGCGGCGTCTGGGCCGCGAAGTTTACCTGTGTCTTTTGTACGCTTTTGGCTCGCTACTAGGAACCGCAGACCACATTTTTAAATATAAGGGATATTTGTTTGCCTATTTTTTTAGGTCTAGTAACCACTGAGAAGTAAAGAAATAATGTTTCTTTTACAAAAATGTATATGCTTTAGGCCCAGAGGTCCCCAAAGCGGAACCGCCGACGTCACCCATTTTCGCATGTTTAAAACAATTTTGGCCACTCATCTGCTCCAAGGGAATGTAAGTTTTCATGGAAAAAACTGTTCCAGTCTGTTGAGCAGTTGATGCATATTTCCCTTAAGTTTCCTTTGAAAATATTCATAATGTTTTTAACTACTAGTATGTGTCTGCATGGAAATATCGTTGTGAGACAAAAACAGAGACAGGATCAAGTCACAAAATCATGTTTATTATCATATTATATTTTCTTCTAAGCAATTATGCACATAGTATCACTGAATGTTGTCACTTTTAGTTCAGAATAAAATTTCTTCACCCTATTCATGTCTATTTACATGCATTCAAGAACAAAAGTAAAAAAATTATCATGTTGCTTTTACTAAGGTTTTGAGCCAAAACTACTTCTCAAAATTCCTCTTTACTATTGTGTAAACTTCAAACTGAAGTCATATTAATATAAGCACTCATTTGATTCTTGAAAATTATTTTTAAAGATAAGAAAAATCTGAGCGAATTTTAAAAATACTATGATTCAAAAGCCATAATGATTGCTTGTTGTATACATGTCGCAGTTCTGTCTTGAACGCAGTAAATAGTTCATATAATTGTTGAAAGTCGTCCATAATCCAAATATATTACATGATCTGACACTTTCAGAGTATACTTGAAATGAAACCTCACACAATATATGATACAAATTACAATAATGTATGTGCATTCTTAGCAGCCAAACACTTGACAGTTCTGAAAAACCTAAAGCACATAAGAGGAGATTAAACCTTAAAAGATTCAATTGTCATCTGACATTAAATATACATGCCCCACCCCCATTACCCTACAATAAATGGCTATCACTTAATTTTTTTTCAGTTTTGGTTTGTATATTTTCATACATGCAGTAACCACTTTCATTAATACTAAACCTCTAAGCAATGCATAACATTTCACAAATTATTAATGCTCCTTCCATCATGCATTCATTCTGGTTTTCAATAACTATAAGTCAGCTTTAATTAAGTGAACAGAGTAAAAAAACCCATTATTATACTCGCAAGTGTTACCACTATTTCAACACACTAAAATGAACATGTAATGAGCCTTGTCTTTGCTAAGAGACGGGGATTGTTTACATGCATATAGTTTGAAAAAAATCATACTCAGGTTACTAAATTGCAGTTTGTAAACAAAACAAGAGTGACAAATTCCTGTTATTTCTACTTCAGTTCAGAGTAACTTGCTCAAATACGATTACCACAACACTAAAAATGTTCTATGCTCAGGAGAATCCAGGAAACAAAGGCGTTATATATAAAAACGTTCGCTGTGAAAAAATAGCTGAATATCTGCGTCTACTTTCCCGCTTAATATCACGGGCAGATAACTCTAAATGACCGAGGTACTCAGATTCGCGGAAATGACACAAGAAAAGTTTAAGGTCTCATTTCAGTAAGTTATATACTTCCGAAAAATACCAAACTTTTTGTGCGTGTACATTCATAGTTATATTGAGCGGATTTGCCCATACTTCAAGAAAATAAATACTTTTACACTATTTGGCATACGTTTAAAAAAGATCAAAGTTCAACTTACCGTCGTTTCTTCATCTTTCGTTGCCAGATGTTAGTTTTGCAAAATACGCGCACCGGAACGTGTACAACGCGATACCATAAATAAAATCGCATACCTTTAGTCAAAATATGTGTATTTGGACCTTAACCGTCGGCCTGTCCGTGGCCCAAATTGTCCGCAATTCTAAAAATAGCGACACTAGCGCCCCTAGCAGCATCTGCGGTCCCTACTCGTACAGCTTCGTTGCCTACGGGTCCGACAAAGGTCGCCATCACGGCTCTCTGTAATCTCTGTCCTGGCGTTAAATTTTATATAAATATCTGCTGATGCATTTTAGGCAACGTGTGTCATTGGTAGGGTTTGAGGGCTGTGTGTAATGGTCAACAACATGTAGCAGTTTTCAAAACATGCTTATATTCGTGACAACCTGCCATGCCAATTGTCCATCTTTGTTTCAGAATTTGAAAATGCTGAGACTCTGCTGATATCGGAAGTACAGATGTTGTTAGAACATCGGTATGTATGTATGTCACGGGAGCGTTGTGTATCAGTCTGGCAAGACTGTAGTCGTAAACGGGGCACAGCTTTTGCAATTAAGTTAGGGTGCGATTAAAATCAACCTCGCCACTCAAAGAAGTTAACTAAATTTTAAGTATGATGATAAGATTAAAAATGTTCTCAAACGTATTCTGTCGCTGCTCCGGCTTTAGCTGTGCCTCTTGTGATACCTAGCTTGCATGGCTCTTCTTTTCTCTAGTGGTGCTGGAATAGTTATGCCAGGATAACAACACTGTCCTTAGCACTTTGGCCCCCTTTCAGGTCAAGGACCCCTTTCTGATCATGATTAGAACTGCACTTTATCAGACAGACTTCGAATATCAGTCTGGAGGATTGCAACCCATAATGTCTCCTTGAAGAAGTACATCTAATTAGGCAACACTTCACAATGGTACTGGTTCTATGATGCTCACATCCATATCATAGAATGTTTGAAATAGATTTTGGAAGTGTTCTCAGTCGGGGTCAGCAAGGGACAGCTTTAAATGGCTAACTGATCCTGTGTTTGTGTGTGTGCAAAAAGCAGCAGCATTGTATTGGTTTGTTGACAGTGTGTGTTTTGCCAGCAAGTGTGAGTGTTAAAATGGTAAATTGATCCTGTGTTTGTATGAGGGGGCATCATGGGGCAATGTTAAAATGGCTAACAGATCTTGTGTGTGTGTGTGGCCAGCTTAGGGAAGTTTTAAAATGGTAAACTATTCTGGGGGAGTGGTGGGTGAGCTGTCGAATGCGTCAGGCTAGTGATCCAACGAATTGGAGGTGCCGGGATCGAGCTCACCTGTGACCGGGTGTAAACACCTTGAGTCAACTTTGTGTGCAGACTCTTTCAGTGTTGTCACAACCCTGTGCACTTAAAAGAACCCACGCATCCATTTGTAAATGACCAGATAGTGGCCTCATAAATGTGCAAACACATAGTTGTGGGTACAGCAACATGCAGTAAACTTGGACAAAGTACTGTAACTATGTGTCCCAGTCCACCCAGCTGCGAATGGGTACCTCGTAAGGATGGAAGAGCCACATTAACTCGGTGCACCTAGTGGCTGCAAAAGTTTGTATGATCCCCAGGGAGTTGAGATTGATAATACGACGTGCCATTTGAGATAGACATCCAGTGTTCGAGGGAAAAACAAAGCGCCTTTGAGCAACTGAGCTGGATATTGGCGCTATTCAAATATTGGCACAATAAAAAAAAAATCCTCTGTTTATGTGTGTGGCTGACAAGTGGCCATGTTAAAATGGCAAACTGACCCTGTGTTTACATGTATACAGAAAGCAGCAGAATGAGAGTGCTGAGGAGGAGCAAGAGCTTTCTGAGGTGTTCATGAAGACGCTCAACTACTGCTCCCGCTTCAGCAAGTTCAAGAACAGAGAAACCATTGCCGCTGTCAGAAGGTAGAATAGGAGCTGCTGTTGTTCTATGAGCTGATGTTTGAGACTCATTGATGGATGTGGCTTTCCTTCAATTCATTTTTCTGAAAGACGAATGAATACTTTGTGTAGTCTTTATCATGTTCATTTTTCCATTAGTATTTTTCAAAGGTTTTACATAATTGAATTTGTTTTAATGAAGAACAATGCAATATATCTTGACTTTTGTTTTTTAAAGCACACTGAGATATGTGTTTTAAGCCCAATCATCAAAACTCTTTACTCTTTAAACAGTCAAAGAAATGGAGATTACTCAAAGTGAGGTTTGTTATAATGATGATGAACAATGCATATTTCTTTGTTCCAGTTCACTTATGCAGAAGAAGTTACACAAGTTTGAACTTGCTGCCCTGGCTAATCTATGCCCTGAAACATCAGAGGAAGCTAAATCTCTCATTCCCAGGTACTGTGCCATAAGAAAAAAGAATACAAACATTTTTTATTTATTTGCGTAACATTTCATTTGTGAGCAGCATATTTTGACTGCTGTTACATCTCAAGAGGCTCTCAGGTATACATGCCCCACCCAACCACTCCCACTTGACTAACGCCTGGAATAGAAGGAAATGCTTTGTATGCAGGATACATATAAATATAAAATATATTAGTTGTTTCTTTTTTTCTGTAGTTTGGAAGGAAGGTTTGAGGAGGATGAGCTGCAGCAGATATTGGATGACATCAAAACAAAGCGAAGCTTTCAGTACTGAGACCATCCCTTCACTTGTGGAACCTTTCTGGAGTGTTGTGGAGGCAGGAGTTATCTCCCTTGCATGTCATGCTAGTCAAGGGGTGTGAGCAACATTTCTGTTGTGAATATTTCTTTGGGACTATTTTATTTTTACCTGACACTAGCATGACCATCTGAGTGCAACTACCGTTATAGGGACACCAATTATTGACGTATATCTGTTGTGTGTCATGAATTGCATAAAACTCTTCATGACTTACAGAAGTTGTAAAAGATCTGCCACAAATACATGGCTTTAGGATATGTATTCATATTCTTCATATTCACATTTACATTAAAAGACTTTGTGTTTATATTAAAGAGTGAAATTTAACATTAACAAATGTTTTGCAAGTACATTTACCATACATGGTAAGAGAGAATAATATTTAAAACAGGCTTTATTGTCAGCTTAAAAGTGCACAAATGTTTTGAAATGTTTTCAGTTCTTCAACAAATACTTGGTACTACCATAATGGTCTGGTCTCTGGAAATGTTTGCAGTTCAGATCTGTATCCCAACATGAAGCTGGATTAATGATCATTTGTTGCAAGATCTTATGGCATTGTGTCTCATCTCTCCATCATTTCAAACATTGTTGTGTCATTATTCATATGAAGCAAAGTCTGTGCTCATTGTAATATGTCATGTTTCATCAATAAACATTTTATTTGTCTCTTCTGTATTCATTTCTGTGTAATCTCACCAGTATTTCTGCTAGCGTAGAGGTTATGTCATGTATACCGTACCAGTATCTGCTGCTGATCATGGGTTTGAATCCCACACATATTTGCTGTTTACTATTACAGATAATTGTACATTCTCAGTTGCTTTAATTGTTTGTTTCTTTTATGCCCTACCTGAACGAAATTTTGCAAGGGATGTAGAAATATGATTCGTTTTATTTCTGGATTTTTAATTCTTGAACCATTCAGCATTTTACATTGCAATTATGTACACATATCCAGTGCTTCAGCTAGGGAAGCGCCATTGCGCCATTCACACTAAAAAATATGCAGTGGCACTTTTGTTTTTCAATGCTAGAGCGCCCATTGGCGTAACATTTAATATAATCCACAGGTCTTCTACACCATGGTTACCATGAATGGCAAAAGTCTCAACTGCATTGGCACACATTTTAGTAGTTAAGGTGCCAATTGGCAACACTCAAAATAATTCTGGCTGAAGCACTGCATATCTGAGATATACTGAACTGGTCTTTTTTGCTACTCGTGAACCTTATGAAAAATTAACAGTTTTCCCTGAAGTTATTGAGAAATTTGTTGTTTCCTAATACTGATAATAGAATTTTAGAATAGGTGTTACATTATGTAGTAGGGTACTCAATATGGGAGGCAACTCTTGTACTCTGAAGAATGAACCTTACAACTAAGAGTTATCTCCCCTAGTGCCGTCCCCTTTGAAAATGACATAAGACCACATTGAAGATTTCTTTTTTGCGTTGGCGGAGCCAATGGGGGGTTCATTCCTAATTCCTGAACCGCCCATGAAAGGGACATGACTAACGCAAAATAGTTAGCGGGTAGACATGACATTCCTCTGTTTACAGTATACAGAACTTTGAAGAATATTCAGTCAGGAGTTGGGATTGAGCACAAGACGGGCTTGGAGGCCAAGGATGAGGAAGTTCGGTACTACATCGAATTGGTCAGATTGTGAGTAGGGGAAATTTGAAAGGCGTTGAGAATATCAGAAATGAGATGATTAATAGAGGAAGCCCTCAGGTATGTAATGAAACCCTTAGGCAAGAATTACAAAGACTTAACTGGGTAAAAAAGCGCGGAATTCCCACACCATTGATGAAAGCACAAAAAGAAACACGTTAAAACTGGTGTAGGGCTCACGAAACTCAAGATTGGGATACTGTTGTCTTTTCTGATGAAAGTTCTGTCTGTCTTTTTTCGAATTGTATGAAAATTTGGACTAAAGATACCGTGAAACCTATCTACGAACGCCCAAAACATAGCCCGAAATTTCACATGTGGGGTGGGATATCATCACGTGGAGTGACGCCGTTGTGTATTTTCACTAGAAATCTGACGAAGGAACGATATGTTGACATCTTAATTGATCACCTCCTTCCAGCGGACTAAATGCTGTGTGAAGTTAGATTTTCCAGCATGATAAAGACCCAAAACACACTGCGTGCTAGACAAAACAGTGGTCTTACGAAAATGTTCAAGTTTTAGACTGGCCCAGCTACAGCCCAGATCTTAACCCTATTGAGAATGTGTTGACTACTGAAGGAAAGAATAAGCCAAAAAGTTGGGCTGGATATTGTTCTGATTTTCATATTGCGATATATTGCAATAACTTCAGAGATATTGCAATATATATTGTGATATTTATATTGACTGGAAGGTTTCTGCCCAAGTGCGTACATGATAAATTTAAAATAGCTGTCTGTGTGCGACATCATCTACACCATACTTTCAGGCTACCCGTCCCCATTGTGTATGGCTGTATGCCAATGATTACAGATAAATAAAATGATATAGAGCTTTAATGTGGAATATTTAATCGAAGTATTGCAACAAAGTTTTGCGAAAATAATGATAAAGGTAATAGTAAAACATAATTTTCATGGTCAGCGTTGTTTGCTTCAACAGAGTGCACTTCAATGCAGGATGTACTTATTGTTATGGTACGAGGGTCGATCAAAGAGTACGTAGCCTAACTATATTCTCGATGTCCAATGTTTGAAAAGCTTCCATTTTATTTTGAACGAATCGGTAGCAAACCCATATCCAAAATTTCACATGTGTGGGTAATGTGGTTAACCAGCTATTTGTCATCACAACACATTGCGGTATAATATTTCTAACAAAATAGCAGAAAGTGAAAAAAACGATTTGTCTTTTGGTACCTCTTGGATAATGGTATGCACTCAGATAATGTCATATAAAATATGTTCAGTATAGTATTGGATGACTTCCCGTCATGATCAACAGTCAAAGATTTGGATTGTCTGATTTATATTTAGTCGGGGGCTATTTTTTAAGGACACCCCCATTTTAATCTTTCAAAAACATTGTGTCCAGATATTCAAGCTGGTACAGTTTACAATATATTGTGAGCTGACACTTGTGTGACCATTCAGTATTTAGTTTGAACCCTTGGCATCATGTATGCATAGGTGAAAACATTAGAATAAGTTATGCCCTTATGATTATGTCATCTGAAAGGGGGATGGGTAGTGTCTCCAGAACAAGCTCTTTCAGTCAACATGAAGGGTGGAGTTACTTTAACAAGCTCTTTCAGTCAACATGAAGGGTGGAGTTACTTTAACAAGCTCTTTCAGTCAACATGAAGGGTGGAGTTACTTTAACAAGCGATTGTAATTTCAATTTCAATTATCTTTTTGATTCATTCAGATTCAACTCCAATATAAACATGTGTTCACATGAACTATTGCAAAATGAAACAAAAACATGATTATGGGGAACTAATGTTAAGATCCTTGATTAGAATGTCATTATACAGTCCTACAAAATTTATGAGACTTAAGCCTTTATGATAAATTGATAACATATGTCCCATTATGAAACAAACATAAATAATATAATATTTTGAATTGTGAAATGGTCCCTCACAGCCAGAAGCTCTACTAATAAGACCAAATAAAACATTGGCCCATTTGAGGCCACTTCGTTCCTCCAAACTGTCACATATGAAACCGTTCAAACCCACAAAACTTGGTAGAATGTTTGGCTCTTTTGGAGCCACTTATAAAGATACTTCCACTTGTAAAACATTACATGAAACCAACTAAAAGTAATAAAAGTATATTTGACACTTTTAGAGCACATATTGTTGCCATGGAAGTCAAGGTCATATAATTCAAAGGGGGCTAACTCTGGATGACCCAATATATTGCAGAATCTGAACCATATCGCGAGATACCGGTAATATTGCACAGCCCTACCAAAAAGGTCTTAGAAATACTGAGGATATGAAGAAAGAAGTGCTTAAATGCTAGTACTGGGATACGCTGACACACGATTTCTTAAAACTTTGATTGGTAGTGTACCTAGGCGCATTCAGTCGTGTATTGCATTGCAAGGAGGTCTCACAAAGTATTGAAAAGACACTTAGACTGTAAGAGAATCATATCTCAGCATATTCATTAAAGTAAAACTTCTATTGTTTAAATACATGTATTAGATATCAGAATTTCTTGGAATACGGTACTATATATTCCAGTTATCTTTGGTGCTACTCTGTTCAATGGAATAAAACTACAGTGTCGTTCATATCCTGTGCCCCCTTGAGCATCTGATTAAATAATAACATCTTAACTTATTACAAGGTACTAAACAGCCCCCGGAGCCAATGTCATCTTAGCTCATATCACTTGAGCTATCGCGCTAACAATCTTTATATTGGCAAAACCTGAGATTTTAGCTGTGACCTTAAACATCTCAAGGTCACTAAATTCAACTGATGTCGGTGAATCTAGCGAATACACCTTGGTACCAAATTTTACGGAAGCGTAGTAGGGCCACGGTGAAATTTTTTTTTGGTCTTACTATCTCCTATGTAGTACTTAATATCTCCTACGTAGGACTTAGTATCTCCTACGTAGGACATATTAACTCCTACGTAGGAGATACTAAGTCCTACGTAGTACTTAATATCTCCTACGTAGGACTTAGTATCTCCTACGTAGGACTTAATATGTCCCCCTCATTCACTATTAGAGTCTACAGTTATGTGTTTCATTTACGGTTAGAGCCTACTATCACGTGTTTCAATTTACTATTAGTCTACTGTTTCCTTCACTATTAGAGTCATGTGTTCAACTAATTGTTGCACATTACTGTGTTGGACCGACTGTTATTCTTTACTGCCTTGCGTTCAGTTTACTATTACGGGTTGCAGTTAGTTCACTGTTATAGGGGCGGTGGGGTAGCCTAATGGTTAAAGCGTTGGCTCCTATGCCAAAGACGGGTTCGAATCCCAACATGGGCACAATGTGTGAAGCCCATTTCTTGTGTCCCCCGCCGTGATGTTGCTGGAATATTGCTAAAAGCGGCGCAAAACCAAACTCAGTCAGTCAGTCACTGTTATATGTTGCACTTTGTTACACTTTACTATTATGCGTTGGATATTTCAGAGATCGTTGCACATGAATCATAATCTGCGTGTACAGACGTGTCTTAGACTATCGGAGCCAATCTATGTGTACGTATCCCCTTATATTTATACACATAAATATAATGACAATTATTTGCCTTTTTGAATTTCGTATTGTTTTACGCCGCACTCAACACTTGTCCACTCATGTCAAGTCAACCTGTAAACAATTACTGAATGCAAACGAGCGTTGCATCCGATCCAATGCTAGATTCATCCATTCTTATTTATTAGCATGCATCTTTTAGTGTAAAAAAATCTTGCCACCATAAGGCTCCAAATGTTCTGAAAATCATATTTCCTTCGCCCCTCAGATACCCCCACCAGGGCGTCGCCCTCGAAATATCGCAACACGGCTTATCTCCCTTTTTCAGTCTCACTCAGAACCACGTTTTACATTGACTTAGCTCAACTTTACTAACACAAGCAAATGTGGGGCCACAAATATCCCCCCATCTGCCGGGGACTTGTGTTGATGTTACACACAAGACGTTTAATGGCTAGCTTGTCCGTTGTCAACGAGGGCGATGGAGACGCCACTGATCCGCCGTGACATGACTGAGTTCTGTCTAGAAGAAACGTTTGCGCATCGTGCAGGGGAAGAAGTTTAGTTTTCTCGAAGCATACGGAAATTACCGAGGCCTTGCGAATGATCGTTTTGAAACAACGTCGCTGATTGCACAACTAAATCTGATTGCCTCCAATCACGAGTCTTGAACGCTCACACCATGAAAGGGCCGTATTAGAACAGAGGTTACGTAGGAAGATATGACAGGAGTAACCTCTGTGGGAAGAGAATGAGCCCCATCAAGACAAGCAACAACTTGCGGAGGTCGTGTTATAACCATAGTTTCATATCACAACCTCACCCCAACCATCCCACCCACCTCTGTGTGTGTGGGTGTGTGTGTTTGTGTGTGTGAATGTATGTATGATAGATTAAACATAACCATACCCAGTGTAGGAAAGATAGCCCGTCCCAACGTCCGAGACGGGTGAATTTTGTGGAGGACGGGTTAAAAAAATATGTAGTCCGTCCTCATGTCGGGTCAATTTTAGCAAACCAGTGACATACAGTGTATATATAATGTTTATAACCTTTTTGAATATTTACTGCCGAAGGTGTTTTATTTATATTTGGAGGACAGGCTAGATTTTGGCAGGACTGGTAAAAAATTTGACCTGCCAGTCCTGTGGACAGGCTAGATTTTCTACATCTTTCCTACACTGCCATACCCAAACCTCCATAACTGCAATTAGAACAGGGTCCACGTCACTCTAACGTAACACACACACTATAACACTGTATAGTAACACTGCGTTAGTGTCATGAATATTCACTGACTCACATTTCAACTATCTAACGTCCTGCATAGCCAAACATTTCTCAACTTAATAACCATCCTTAAAAGGATTTAAAGGTCACATGCAACGTAAAACACAACGTTGCAGATTCTGATACCTTTCGGTATGGACTTATGAAACAAATCATCAAAAATGCAAATTCAACTTATAAAGTTGAAAAATAATGCGATGAACAAAACCGCGCGAAATCGGAGTTCAAACGATTCACTAATTTTCCCCCGACTTTTCGGGGGAAAACTGGTTTCAACAGCTGGGCTGCGCTCATAGCACGTGCGCAGTGAAATAGGTTCGCGCAACTTGGAAGCGGGCTGTCCGGTGAAGGCTTTGGTGTGAGCTATTTTCCTAATGTTTTGTTCGATACTTAAAAGCAATGTCATTATTTAGCGTTGACAGAATTTCTAACTGTGATATGGATATGTCGTTGTCACAATGTCTTGTTTTATTGACACCTGTGTGTCTGCCTGCCTGTCTGCTAATGGCAATATTCAATACACAACTGCGATCACTGACCACATGCAATTTGAATTTAACACCAATCAGGCTATACACCATAAACAAAACGCATTGATTTATGGCCCGAGTTCGGTCTCGGTCACATTATGTAATTACACAGACAGGCAGGTGTGATATACTTAAACACATGACATGTTATGATGTCTGTTGATTGCAAAAGGTTATACACAAAAAATGAGCCGTGGGGACATCTGCAAATGAACTAGCCGTTACACTTGAGTGCACACCCACCCGCTCTGACTGGGTTCGGTATCCCGGCTGCTTCGTTTCTTGGGAAGTAAACCCAAGTACACAATATTGCACTTTTGATTTGCGATTGTACGCTTCTAATTTTGTTTATATGTTTTTTCATAACCAGCAATGTATATTATATGTCATGAATAAGTGATAATTGTGTTTTAATTATGTTTGATTTTTTGGTTGCATGTGACCTTTAAGTACTACGTAGGAGATAGTATGTCCTACGTAGGAGATACTTAGTCTCCTAGGAGATACTTAGTCCTACGTAGGAGATACTAAGTCCTACGTAGGAGATATTAAGTACTACGTAGGAGATAGTATGCCCTACGTAGGAGATACTAAGTCCTAAGTAGGAGATATTAAGTCCTACGTAGGAGATAGTGACCCCAAAAAAGATTTTCACCGTGGCCCTACTACACTTCCGTATTTCTTTCTTGTGTTATCGCGCTAACAGGCTTATATGATATATGAAATGCAACGAAAAACGAACACACGCGTATTTAAGACTGATTAAAATAGTTATTACAATTTACGTAATTATTTATTACATTTTACCGCTACGTCAATTTTAATTACAATTTGCGTATTACAATTTACGTTTTTATTACAATTTACGTCAAGGGTTATTACAATTTTCTCCAAGTATTACAATTCACGTTTTTATTACATTTTTTTAAAATACGTCGTAACAACCATTAAAGCTATCTCCGACGTATACTCTTGATGTTCTTATAACAATAGGGTATCATGATCTGTCACTGAACACGACAAAGGTGTGTGTGGTTATCTTTCCCATTGTACATACTTCAGCAGGTCCACTGAAACTTAATCGGTTGTCTTATGACTGGATTATTGTAGTCACGAGTCGAGAGTGGACAGTTTCCTTCATAACAGATGACTGTGTGACCACTCATAGGCAAACAGGAGCCTCAACTACAAGGAAACCTACTGATTCCTGAAGTGGACAAAACCTTTATATTTGAAAGATGTCGGGTGGTAGACAATCTCTGATGAATGTTCAAAACGATAAGCATCCGATAATATCTCCAGCTGACGAAAGTGATTTTGAAAATTCCGGCCGATATCGTGGTACCGGAAACGTGTACCCGCCATTGTCTCCAAAAGAAACCGGACCAGTTCATATCGTTACGCTTCTACGTGTACCGAATGAACCTCAAACTGGGATAACGGGGAAACTGGGGATTTCACGAGGGGCGTTAACCGTCTTCATCGCCGTAATTAACATTCTCGCCAACGTCCTCATGAACGTCTCACTTCCGGTGTTTGCCGGGACGATGGACCACGTTGGCGGAGACACCTTTGTTGTGTTGTTGGTATCGTCCTGTGGTTTCCTCTCATCTTCGCCGTTATGACTTTAGTCATGAAATATCTAACTGTAATCAACCTCAGACGAGGTATCTCATATATTATATGGTCTCTGTTCAAACCGACTGCAAGCTGGAAGATTTTGTTAACGGTAGGGTTTGCTACTACCATGAACGGAGTTCTTATTGTGTTTGCAAGTCCCCCAAATCGCACGCCGCCATATTTGCAAGGTATCCTAGCAGCAACCATCATACCCTATACAGTTGTAGGCCGATTTTTCATCCTCAGAAAAGGTAACACGTCAGTCTGCTTTGTTTGTTTGTTTGTTTTAGTAGATACTGTCCCAGGTTATTTAATGACATCGTGACTAGACAATTTGTCCCTTGAAGTTCACGGATCTGAAGAGCAGATTTAAATGGAACTGGGTGAACTTCATATATCATTAGGGTAGCCTAATGGTTAAAGCGTCTGCTCGTCACGCCGGGTTCGATTCCCTACATGGGTACAACGAGTGAAACCCATTTCTGGTGTTCCCCACTCACTCACTCAGATGTTAAACGTTAAACAGTGGCATGAAAGTTTGCAAAATGGTTTTGAATTTGGAACAGGAAATGGACACACATTGGATTCAGCATCTTAACCGTGTATATGGGCAGCTAAGATCTTCGGCAACCTATGCTTGTCGTAAGAGGCGACAAATGGGATGCGACATGTCATCGTATCCCAATTGCCTAGATCGATGCTCATGATATTGATCACTGGATTGTCTGTTCCCGATTCGATTATTTAATCCCCGCTGCCATATAACTGGAATATTGCTGATTGCGTTAAAAACCAAACGCGTTAAAAAACAACCCAAACCAAACACCTTAACTATGACAATCGTTTGTCACAGTTACCTCAATACCACGCCATCTGTTGATTGAAATATGTCGAGTCACGGGCCGTGTGTGTACATGAATAAGCTTGTCAGGTTCCAGGCGTGTTTATAGCCGTAGGCTGTGTACGTCATTTGTAGATTGTCACATGTACACAAAGGGAGATAACGCATATCCAACTGTTGAGGTTAATATGTTTTGTCATCTGACTGACTGACTGACTGAGTATGGTTTTACGCCGTTTTTAGCAATATCCCAGCAATATCACGGCGGGGGCACCAGAAATGGGCTTCACAAATGTCATTTTCTGAAGGTTACAGTATGTGACTTACACTTAATGATATAAGCCACTTGTCCAGGCACAGATTCGACGGACTACATGTAGTAATAAATCAATATTCAGCACACGCATGCACGCACGCACGCACACATACATACACACCCACAAATGTAAATATAGAGCGTCAACGCCAGAGGATATTCAGTCAATTGAAACAGATTCAATAAAAAGGCAAAATATTGTGGTAATTCAACGAATGGATCAGGTCGGTGTTTACAAGAAAGGGCAAGCATGTTCAACTCAATCGTTCGCTCCCGCCACCAGCACAGTTTGCATCAAGTAGTAACTGTTACACGCCGACCCGAGGCCAATTTTTTTAAGAAATGGAGAGTTACGGGGATTATCCCCAACTTAAATTATGTTTTGTATGACTTAATAATACGTGTTTTGATGCATTTCCAACATATCCTAATGCAGAAATGTCAAAATCATCGCGACAGGGTAAATGTTTAAAAAGAGACCCGCTCTTGTACGTACCCGTTGTTTTGGGGGCGAAGGGGTAGTCAAGTGGTTAAAGCTTTCGCTCGTCACGCTGAAGACACGAGTTGCATTCACCTCATGGTTACAATGTGTAAAGCCCATTTCTGGTGTCCCCCGCCATGATATTGCTGGAATATTGCTAAAGCGGCGTAAAACTAAACTAAACTCACTCACGCGTATCCGTTTTATGTGTACACAAACTATTCATACTCCAGGTATCAGTCTTCGACGCCTGGTTTGTACGGGGGTGGTTCTCATCGGCCTCTTCATCACGGTGGAACCCCAAATTTGGGGGCTGGAAGGGAGTGGGGATACAGGATCCGGAAGCACAGGAAGCATACTCTGGCCATTTATATTTGCACTGGGGTTCTTGCCAGCAGGTTTAAGCAGCGTTTTCGTGGAGAAGGCGCTCCATGGAACTGAGGTAAGATATATTCATGTGTGTCACATTCATACCCGTTTAACCGGTTAATTTTGCTTTCTTTAAATATGTTTCGTTACAATATTCTCTCGCTATATTGTCACAATATTCTATTGCTGTATTGTGTGAATGAACACATTTCACAAAGGGTAAAATGGTACAAACAATTGGCGAAGTTGGCAATGACGTAGTCAAGTTCATGAAGCTAACACGGTCGCTCTTCACAAAAAGACGATGGGGTAGCCTTGTGTTTAAGCGTTCGCTCGTCACGTCGACGGGGTTCGATTCCCCACATGGATAAATTGTGTGAAGCCTATTTCTGGTATACCCCGTCGTGATTTTGCTGGAATATTGCTAAAAGCGGCGTAAGACGCAGCTCATTCTCTCCCTCCTCACACCGAGGATTCCTGTCCACACCTCACACTTGTAAGAGTTGATAGAGATGAGGACCGACTGTACTTGTACTCAGACATTGAGTGAATGAGTGAGTATGGTATTATGTCGCTTTTAGCAATATTCCAGCAATATCACAGAGGGGGACACAAGAAATTTGCTTCACACTTTGTACCCATGTGGCGAATCGAACCCGGGTCTTCGGCGTGACGAGCGAACGTTTTAACCACTAGGCTACCCCACCGCCCCTTTCAAACATTGACGTAGATGATTGTTCATGCTGTTAACCACTGGTTTGTCTGGTCCCGACCCGTGACATACGTGCGGCACAATAGGTTTTAACGAAAGGACCACTAGTTTTCTTTCGTTATATCCATAGTTCATTGTACGCATTTATAGACAAAATGTACAGCAAATATGCGAGACCGATAAACAAAACAATACGTTTTATTCTGCATGTTCGTTATAAACGTTGTTTTGTTTAGCTGTTCGTTATAAACGTTGTTTAGCTGTAGTTGGGTGACAAATTTGAATTAATTCTGCATGTTCGTTATAAAGGTTGTTTAGCTGTAGTTGGGAGACAAATTTGAATTAATTCTGCTGCTGCAACTACACCAACAATGGATGTGCATTATGTATGTTGTTTCTATGAGTGAATGAGTGAGTGAGTTAAAATTTAAAGTCACGTTGGATCTCTTCCAGTCAGAGTCACTGAACTTCATCATGTGGACCCAAGTCTATCAACTGTTAACCCTGCTGCCGTTATTCTGGGTGGATTTTATTCCACATTTTGGTATGGTATGTATTTCCTGCCTTCAAGTCTAATTGTTTGACACACGCCATCATATCCGAATTACGTAGATTGATGATAAGATTGTTGATTGGGTTGTCCAGACTCGATTATTTACAGACCGTCGCCATACAGCTGGAGTGTTACTGAGCGCGGCGTTAAACAACAAACCAACGTAATCCAACTTATTTCGGTGGGAAACTTCTACATTCAGCAATGAAACAGTCTTTCCTCGATGAATATGCTGACATGCAGTGACATATTTGAAATACTAGTGAAATCAGCACTGAAATATACTCAGTCAGACACTTGTACCACACGATGCCACTGGGACTCTCTGCCATCTGAACTAAGAACCACCAAATCCAAAGACCTTTTCAAGTCTCTCCTTAAAACACACCTCTTCCGCTCACCATTCCGCTAGACTTTCAGGATTATGTGTATAAATGTGCATGTATTTGGTTCTAACTTTGTCATAGCGCCAGTGAGCACCTGTCGATAGATACTAGGCACTTTAGAAATCAGTTATAATTATCATTGGCGGATCCAGAGGGGTGGGTCTGAAAATGACTTAAGATCACATTGAAGATTTTTTTGCGTTGGCGGAACCAATGGAGGGGTTCGAACCCCCTCTTTTCAAAATTCCTGGATCCGCCCATGATTATAATATTATTATTGTTATTGCGAAGACAAAATCCTGTTTACACATGCCCTGTTTTCTGTCTGATTTCAGGCTGATTCAATCCAGGACTTTAGTGGTATCCTTGGAACTGGATTCCGCTGCTGCTTCAGCTCGGACCCTAGTTGTAATGGCTTATGGTGGAAACTCTGGTTGTTTCAGATTGGATATTCCTTCGGGAATCTGTTCCAATTTCTATTAATAGAATACGCAGAGGGCGCTGTATATGCGGTTGTCGTCCAATCAATGGTGACGCCCTTGGCAACGTTGTTCTGGACCCTGTTCAAGTTTGACGTTCCAAACAACCACTTCTATTGGTCCCCGGAGTTCAACATCACCACAGGCTTCACCTTAGGCGGCCTTCTCATCATCGTGCCAACTGTAATTATGTACAACTACTTCAGCAAACAGGACGCCAAGGAGAAGGAATTGAAAGAGGCAGCAACTGTCCATGACATCATTGATAATCACATGTAAATCAAAGAAAGATAACAGAACTCAACAGAACAAAATCTTTTTCAGAGACTTGGTTCCTGGTTATCTACAGTATAAAAATGATAAGTATATAATGTGTACAGAGTATGAGTCAGGACATGGATATTTACGATACATAAAGTTTTTGATAAATTTTGCTATAAACAATAGATTATTTTTATAAGTAGACTGCAACAGCTTCATAAATTTATGTTTTGATGGACACTCCAAAAAATTAACGACTTATATATTTGAGTCTATAAACATCGTAAATTCATTTTCAAATGCACTGAAATTAAATTCAGTACGCCATCTCTTTAATAATTACAAGTAAAATGAGTCTCATTAATATTTAATTTGAGTGCGATCTGTTTGCGAAACACATGGAAAATGTTTTTGGTAAGTTTTGAATAGAATTCAGAACACAACAATTTTGAACATGAACAACGGGAGTTCTATGGATATACAACCTCTTAATGACGGTGTAAGTAGCTACACCGAAATGTCGCTCATGTAATGATAAAGAAGTTGTATATCCATAGAACTCTCCCCGTTGTTCATTTAATAGTAGAAATTCAAAAGAAATAAGAAATCTATCCAAATATCTGCTAGCATTAGATAAACTCTTTGTCAAAAAATGGTTAAACCTCAATCAGCTCTTTCTATAGACAACAAATCACTTAATAGATCTTAATTTATGGCATAATTCTGTTTCATTTTAAACTGTTCTACCTGTCATTTTGTCATGTTTATTTATATGTATTTAAATGGATTATGTTTGATTTTCTCTTGTACCACCAAACGTGGTTATTTGAGAATAAACTGAACTTGAACTTGAACATAACGCCATCTTCTAAATGCCACTCAAAGAAACTTTGAACATTACATATTAATTTCATTTTGTCAGCACTATGATAAAACTTTGTACGTGGACCCTTTAAATTACATTTAAGATAAAGGATGTTAATTTAGAAACACAATTCTGAACGTGACCTATTCAAATAACGCTATAATTACTAACCTCATTGACGTTTTAGACGTTTGTAAGTGACAATAAGGCAAGATGGCTTTTTGTATGAAAAATCCATAATTTGATATATATACATGTAATACAGAAGCAGTCATCTGTGAAGTATTTTGCCATATAGCTAATTCACGGTACTGTGTACACGTTTGGTGGGGGTGGTTGGGTAGTCTAGTGGCTAAACCGTTCGCTCGTCACGCCGTAGACCCGGGTTCTATTCCCCACATGGGTACAATGTGTGAAGCACATTTCTGGTGTCCCCCCCAACCCCACCGTTTCGTGATATTGTTGGAGTATTGCTAAAAGCGGCGTAAAACCAAACTCACATGTTTGGTCATTGCTAGCGAGTCGTTATTCATTATGGATGATAAAGACACACGTGACAAGGTCAGACCTATAAATACAACGATGCATCTGTTGTCCCCGTTACGAAAACGGACCATCAAACGTTGATCCCATGAATATATATGACTGGGCAGATTAATGACATACCAGGTCACATGCATGTCGAGTACAGGTTTGATCCAGAGCACACTGGGTTACATGTAAATGGAGCACAGGTCACATGCAGAGCAAACCATGTCGTGTACGTATCAATCACAGGTCAGATTAATAGTGCACCAGGTCACATGTGTAGTACACCAAATCAGATGAATATCTTCAGTTCACACAAGCATCAGATCAGATACCCAGCATAAACTGGTCACCTGATGACAGTTCTGTGCACCATACACGGCCTTGGCCCCAGATTAATTCTTACTTTGATTATTGTTGACCTGCGCCTGATACTAGGGTACCATGAGAAAGATATATGTATAACTATATTTGTACGTGCATGTAGCTGTACTTTAAGGACTTTTATACAGGGTATGAAACTCCCCAAATTTCAGCCAGATAACAGGGCTGGTTAGATGTAAAACTTGCCAGCCATAACCAAATATTACCTGCCCGCAAATAATTTAGGTTTGACAAGCGACGTAGTAAATCATCCAATTGGAATTTATGGAGTGATATAATAATGATTTATTATCCTGAATTATGATGAATATCTTCATATACATGTCAAAATTTTAACCCGACCGTCTGGCAGGTGGAATTTGAGAATCTGGCAGTCCGTGTTGAAAATACCCGTCCCGGGCGGTCGGGCAGGCAGGTATTTCGAACGCTGATTTATACCATTGATATCCGATATTACATAATTGTGAGATGTTTTATAATAACGAAAGATACAGACACATTTTTATCTCAAAACCAAAAGCTTTCTTATCAGTATACACTTAGTTGTTAAGAGCTAGCTTGATGAGAGTATAAGATTGTGATACATATGGTGTGTGTGTGTGTGTGTGTGTGTGTGTTCACGCGTGTTATGTGTAAACATTATGATACAGACACATTTTTATCTCAAAATCAAAAGCTTTCTTATAAGTATACACTTAGTTGTTAAGAGTTAGCTTGATGAGAGTATAAGATTGTGATACATATGGTGTTGTGTATGTGTGTGTGTGTGTGTGTGTGTGTCCACGCGTGTTATGTGTAAACATTATGATACAGACACATTTTTATCTCAAAATCAAAAGCTTTCTTATAAGTATACACTTAGTTGTTAAGAGTTAGCTCGATGAGAGTATACGATTGTGATACATATGGTGTGTGTGTGTGTATGTGTGTGTCCACGCGTGTTATGTGTAAACATTATGATGTCTCAATATTAGAGTTTAATACAATTGCCCCTTTCGCAAACGCTTTGTGTTATCACTGAGATTTTAGTGATCAATTCATATAATTTCTTAACCGTTTTTTTTCAGCAAGCTATCAACTTATCATATTGGAATATTTGACGTTTTCAATCAACAAAGTTTGATATTTTAGGGTTGATTAATATATTTTATATATTTCTTGTCATAATAAAAAAATACAGTCAGTTTCACTCTGTCTCAAATTCCTTTGACTATCTATAACGTTATCCTAACCCTGTATTACACTCACACAAGACATGACACTACGGTCTACTCCCATTTGTGAGGGTCTACTCCCAATTGTGAGAACACCCAATAGTGAGACAGTGGAGTAGGTAATTAACAAAGAAAACACACCTTACTCCCCTGTCCGATAGAATGGATTAACCCTAGCTAATTACTGATTTGCGATGTAACTGAATCTTGTGGAAGTCTTAATGAAACTTGATAAAGATAAATTGATTAACATACACTTTGTGTAGGTAACTTCGTGATCATTTGAAAGAGAAATTAATTTACCTACTCAGATTTACATCCGTCTCCGAAACTACAAGATATAGCTCTGAAATACAATTTTACAGTCGAACTGCCCCTTATGCCAAATCCTTTTTACCCGGCACTACCCATTATAACCTGGATACCATTTTGAACGGAAACAAAGAATTTACTCCTTGTGTAAACCAGAAAATAGTTGAATCTGTCCACGATTATATCATCAAGATACAACGCTTCAAATTTCTCAGGAAAATACTTAAATTAACTCAACAACCTTCTCATGATTGATTTATATTCCCACAATAGCTTGTTAGACACACACAACTGTAACTCGCTAATTATGACTACTTAGAGAATAGTTGTATTTGATGTATACTTAAAATATATTTTTGCAATAGTCAATATCAATGACGTCACATCCTCCATTTCATTTTGTATTTTATGTTGCGTGGGAGCGGTGTTAACATAAGCAGTAATGCTTGCTCACCAATCCCAATTCATTTTCATAAATAATAATAAAATATGTTTAAACCAAAATGACTTTCAAACTTCATAATAGTCTATTTCTTCTGTGTAAATATAAGCTTTGATAATCTATTTCATTAATCTACTCATCAATGAATCCTGTGGGTACTCTTCAACAACTGGGCTGATCCCACTTTCATTGTAGGGATGTGGAAACACCACCTATGTGCAGTGAACCATTAATTAATGTATCTCACAAATGGGAGGACACCGACACTACAGTTCAACATCACGGAGACGGTACCGCCATGAACGTGTGATATCAGTCATGTTATCAAATATCACATGATACCCAAAGTCACGTGATATGCGATAAAAGGCTTAAAAGACATACGGGGCAGTGGGGTAGCCTAGTGGTTAAGGCGTTCGCTCGTCACGCCGAAGACCCGGGTTCGATTTCCCACATGAGTACAAGATGTGAAGCCCATTTCTGGTGTCCTCCGCCGTGATATTGCTGGAATATTGCTAAAGCCGGCGTAAAAGTAAAGTAACTCATTCACGCACTTAAAAACATACCATAAACCCAGTCACCGGACCTGACCAGCTTTTCTATATGTGGTCGGGAATATTTCTAGACCTGAAATCGGAGGCAGATATATTTATTCCCCATTGGTGCAAAACGAAAATTAGCACATCCATTGATGAATCTAAAAGTTTGAGTCAGGGATTGATGTTAGAAATTGAAAATTAATTTGAATAATTACTTATTTCTCTCTTCTATCAAACGGTGATGTGCTTGCATGAACAATATTCGGTAATAAAAACTTTAAACATAAATTTAGGAATCGTTATGGTGCCGACTGCGGCATAAAACAGTATGATTAAACTGATGCAGACATACCCATTCGTAAGTAAGTATACATGCACACTCGCGCAGTCGCAAACAGTCACTCTGCAATGCACATAGACCCAATATATAACGCGTCTCAATCTCACGGAAGCTTCAACGAGGAAGGTCGAACAATCAGTTCACTATCAACATTTCGTCCAAGTTGGGTCGAACTGTCTTCATGTGCAGTGGTCTCCCGAAGTCATTGTCATGTGCCTCGCTCGTAGCTAAACGAGGTCAGCTGTCAGGCTTCCCGTTGAGATTACATTGTACCAGGAAACATGACTCTAAGTTTACTGTGTGAAATATCTCTATTCAACAGGATAAATCCTGTATTTATACGCAGGGACCTTATACACATTCGCCGTGTATGACGTGAGTGACAATAATGGAAGGCACGGGTCATGGAACCATTCAAACAGGCGACACAGAAACAAGTGACCCCAACGAGGAAGAGTCACGCCTCCTTGGAGATTCACGGGAAAACAAAACTTTAGGATGTTTCTCGCGTCTACGATCATGCATTGGAGGCTTGTCCACAAACGCCAAGAGTATTATTCTTTCTCTATTTGCTTTGCTTGGACACCTGGTGACGTCGCTGGTGTTGCCGGTATGGGCGTCCACGTTTGATGAAATTGGAAGTGACGTATTTGTTGGACAGTTCGTTGATACGTTCTGGGAGCTTCTGATCCTTTCTGCAGTGTACCTGGCATGGAAGTGTTTCGACAGGGAGGTGCCTTTGAGGCCAACTGTCAGTTTGAAATCTTTGGCGATTTATGGCCTCACAAATGCTTTGACTGGAGCCTTCATCGTCTTTGCAAGCCTTCCAGAGAGAACCCCTCCGTATTTGCAGTCAATCATCGGATCCTCTCTGATACCATTTACAGTTATTTGTAGATACATAATGCTCAGAAAAGGTATGTAGAGAATTACAGAAGAGTGAGTGAGTGAGTGAGGTAGGTTAGATTTACGCTGGGACATGATGACACGTGTCAACCAAGTCAGCGAGCCTGACCACCCGATCCCGTTAATCGCCTTTTATGTCAAGCATGGGTTACTGAAGACCAATTCTAAATGTTTTAAAGGGCTAACACGTTTCAAACTACAAATAATTAAGCATATGATGAGCTGAGACTGTGAGTCAAGGTTATTAAAACTGAGTCATATTATTTTTTGTACATATATTGACTCCTTGCACAAGATGCTTGTGCATAGTGCTAGATAACATAAGTGCTAGATTACATAACACAAAAAAGTATGCCAAAGTTATGCTATACTTGGCTTTCCTCTCGCACTGAGCATCTAATTCGTTATTTGTTATTCAACACTGCTCACTCACTCTAAACTGATCAGGGGCGGTGGGGTAGCCTAGTGGTTAAAGCGTTGGCTCGTTACGCCGAAGACCCGGGTTCGAATCCCCACATGGGTACAATGTGTGAAGCCCATTTCTGGTGTCCCCCGCCCTGATGTTGCTGGAATATTGCTAAAAGCGGCGTAAAACCCAACTCAGTCAGTCAGTCTAAACTGATAACTTGTGACATTGAAGGTCATTGTTTACAGTTGTATGGTTTCTGTTTTAAAGATGATGCATCTGATCAGTAACAGAATGATCAAATGTTTTAATGTACACACAATGAAGCATCGAGATATATAATGATATATGCAGCTTGATAATTCACCGGAATGAATTACTAGTATTCAAATTTATGGTGTCATACAATCACACTGTGTTTCAGATAGTTGTCAAATGTAGCATATGTTTTATTTAGGATTACACCTACAGATATTACACTTACTCAGTGTACACTTTCTCAGCAAAGTACTCAGAGAGTGTGGATACATGACCTATTTTATGGATGACAACTTTTTGCTATTTTTTATACAACTTTTCTTGCTCCGTCATCAGCTGAATGATGAGTCAGTGCACAGAGTTAATATGTATTGATGGAACATGTATTCATGTTCGTCCAACTTCTAAATGCCTTTCAAGAGCTTCTGAGAGTGTGGGTTCGACCCCAAAACGTACTAGAATCTGTACTTCATTGAGAAAATGTAATCCCAAACATGACATATGTTGCATACAATGCACTGACATTGACATTCTTCCCACAAACAGTTTATTCTGGCATGTCTGAAGGACACATATCTGCATATCATACTGGATGTCCAGACGTGCGATGGAGCAAACATCAGCTACACATGCATACATCGCTTTATTTATTAGTACTAATTCATCCATTCGGCTAAATTTTCGTTTTCGAATCATCCGTCTTTTGACACCATGCGTTTGTTGCAGACAAGCGGGGTAACTCCCGTTTGCAAGAGTTGACACAAAAACATGTAAATCATAAACATCATCGAAATATGATTAATCACACGAACACTATGTTCTGTCACAAAACGTGCACTATAGCTTTGTGAATAATATAAACTTCTTTCGAAATTGGTTTGGTAAATAAATGCTTCGTTTTTCAGGTGTGAGCTTGAGAAGAGCTGTTTGCATAATAATTGCAATGATAGGACTCTTTATCACAATGGAACCTCGTATCTGGGGCCTGAAAGGAAGTAGCGGAACCGGAAGTAGCAAAGGAAGTGACACAGTGGTCTCCCCTGTTGGACGAATTCTTTGGCCCCTTTCATTCTGCTTTGGATTCGTCCCAGACGCAGTTAACAGAGTCATCACAGAGCAAGAACTGAAACGCCCACAAGTTAGCTATACTTCTTTCAAATTTTAGAAAATACTGTTCCAGTTTTACATTGGGTGTGTATATGACAATGAAAGTTCAACTGACGGACTTTGAGGGACAATGAGTTTTGTCTGTGGTCGTTCATTCTCAGCAATGGCCTTGCAGAGTTGCGTTCGAAATTTCGACGTGCATCACAAACCAATGTTCGTCCTCTCAATGATTGTTGTTTTGTCAGCCCCACTTCTGAGCAGGTGGGTTTTACGTCTATGAACCTCATCACTTCAGATGTCTTCCCAGAGCAACTAATGTAACAGGGCTTGATTTAAAAGATGTTAACCTACTTGCACCAGGTGCAACCTAAGATAAAAACCTAGTTGCATCAGCCAAATTCCAGTTGCAACGTAGTGTGTTAAAACATCAGAGGTTTCGGTGCACATAAACATATTTCTGTCATGTAGTGCCATTGAAACCATAGCAACACAGATACACAGCTGATCCCTGTTTACAATATTGAGCTATCATAGCCGCGACGTGTCTATGAATAGCAATGTTTCGTTGCCATAGCTATTCAAAGTTTAGAACAAAATGGAGCTGACATTTTTATGCTTATATTGTTAGATTTATTGTTGATTTATTTCTCAAAAATGACTTGCACCTGGTGCAAGTTAGACTAATAACTAGGTTGCACTTTGCAAAATTGGGTTGCACCAGTGCAAGTAACAAAGCACTAAATCGAGCCCGGTAATGTAACTGACCTTAAATCCACTAACTCGCATGAACACAAGAATACGAGCGTACGTGTTACATTCAACGTATAGTAACTCTGAAAACTAATTTCCCAAAACATATGATCTATAAGTGACTAGTGGTACTTGTATGACAATGTGATGGAATTGGGAACATATCACAACCACTATGGAAGTATGACAGGAGATTACGGAAGACAGTGGTGAGATTTCAAAAGTTGACACTCCCCCTCCTACCCGTGAAGATCATGTCATCGTATCCGAATTGCATCGATGGAATTGATCACTGGATTGTCTGATCCAGGCTCGTTTATTTACAGACCTCCGCCATAGCTGGAATATTGCTGAGTGCGTCGTTAATCATCAAACGAACGAACACTTCCACTCCTCTAACGACGTCCAGGGTGCCGTTCCACTAACCGATCTTAGCCCTACGCCAATCGTAAACCCCTAAAATCCCAATCTTAGCGTGACGTTACGATCGGCATACCGTTCCACTAACCAATCTTACCTAAGTCAATCGTAAAGTTAAGATTCAATGTCTAAGTTGCTCATGACCAACTTAGGATAGCTAAAATCAATCGTAGAGAAACCAAAATGGTGGCTTTCCTATTCTATGTGAAAAATAAGAGCGAGCATTTCACCGTGAGCGTCCCCTAAAGTCCCCCATGAAATGAATTTGTATATTTCTGTGATGTAAACAAACACTGCACTGAAGCCTTACAAATGTCAGGCCAGTCTGACCACTGTCGTCATGGGAACACAACCGAGCGAGTCGGTGTAACACATTTGTACAACAATATTGCAACGTCATGGTTAGAATAGAATAGGGACAGCATATTTTGTGGGGATTCTAAAGGCAGGCCGCGTGTTATTCAAGACCACTGAGAGTGAACAATGTTCTGAATTATCTGTACAAAAAGATAATTTACTCGAGAATATTTACAGCCGAGATTATAAGTAATATACAGAGAACAGGTGTTAAGTCTGGACTTTAAAAATGTCAATTGCGTCAGAGCTTTTAATATGTGCCTTAACGTTGTCAATCAGAATAAACAAGGCGTGACGAGGCTATAACGTATGTAGAATCTGTCTGTGGTCTTGAATATAACACGCGGCCTGCCTTTAGAATCCCCCACAAAATATGCGCAGTGAAATCAAACATATTTGTATCTTTTTGCTTCAGAACATTGTTCACTTCACGGCTGTCCCTATTCTTAACCATGACGTTGCAATACTGTTGTACAAATGTGTTATACCGCCACGCTCGGTTGTGTTCCCATGACGACAGTGGTCAGACTGGCCTGACATTTGTAAGGCTTCAGTGCAGTGTTTGTTAACATCACAGAAATATACAAATTCATTTTATGGGGGACTTTAGGGGACGCTCACGGTGAAATGCTCGCTCTTATTTTTCACACAGAATAGGAAAGCCACCATTTTGGTTTCTCTACGATTGATTTTAGCTATCCTAAGTTGGTCATGAGCAACTTAGACTTTGAATCTTAACTTTACGATTGACTTAGGTAAGATTGGTTAGTGGAACGGTATCTAAGATTGGGATTTTAGGGGTTTACGATTGGCGTAGGGCTAAGATCGGTTAGTGGAACGGCACCCAGGGCTCATTGCTAGCCATTCTACAGATGCTGTGCTGTGCTGTAGGTGAGCAATGACGACTCGTGCATTGTGATCACTGGCGTTGTCGTCCTGAAAGATGATTTGCAAATTGGACAACAAAGGGTGTGGGTATCCTGTCCTGGTAACATTGCCTAATCTGTCATGATCAGTGAAGATCCGTGTTATAATTGGTCTTCAGCAACCCATGCTCGTCATAAACGTGATCGGGTTTGCCAGGCTCGCTTATCCAAGTTGCGTAGATTGATGCTCAATTTGTTGATCACTGGATTGTCTGGTCCAGACTCGATTATTTACAGACTGACGCCATATAGCTGAAATATTGATGAGTACGGTGGCAGTAAACAACAAACAAACGGAAAAGGATAAACAGAATCAATACGGTTGACAGGTATAATGATCCACAGAGATTCACCGACCACCCGGGAGGTGGGGAAATCTAGTGGTTAAAGCGTTCGCTCGTCACGCTGAACACCCGGGTTTGATTCCCCACATGGGTAGAATGTGTTAAGCCCATGTCTGGTGTTCCCCGTCGTGATATTGCTGGAATAGTGCTAAAAAGCGGCGTAAAACCATACTCACTCACCTACCACCGTTGAAAGAGTCAAAAGCAGCAATGACACCCTTCTGTGTGTCGCGCTTCGGGAGGCAGATGCAAACGGTCGGGAGGTATTTTGTTGTTAAATTTTACAGATCTAAACGTTCTTGCAAATGATATTTGTCTTCAGCACCTGCTTTTGTTTATGATAGATTTATTAGCATTTATAGTTCATAATCATCTTTTGCTTCAGGAGGGTATTTCTCACCTTGCTGCTTCTGTAATATCGAACATGTTGTGTTTTAGGCCCAAACCGTGAATTTTCTGGTGTATGCTCAGCTATCGGCCTTAGTGTTTGTCGTACTTCTGTTCTGGGCAGACCTCATTCCTGGATTTGGAATGGTAAGCATTTCACATTATCCATTTACCAAGAAAACCAAGATATCTTTAAATATAACACAAGCACTAGGATTTCATTACAATTACCGCGAGCACCAAAATCTCCTTCATATTGCAGCGAACATATTAAGATCTCATTGAAATTAACTCGAGCACTAAAATCTGGTTTGAACGTGATTGCAGAAATGTCATTTTGTTTCTATTGAAAAGGACAAATTTCGAATTATACAATCCATGTGATGACGTTCATAATAATATTTGATTGTACTAGCCTTTTTGCTCATTTCTTATAGAACTTCTGCCTACCTAGAAAGACTCCCACGACACCCCGTCCTTTCCGCGCAGGGAATGTGATGGAATATTGATCAATGACTTACAAATGTTGAACATCAGCGTTTGCATCTTTATTGTTCCATGTCGTAATCATCACTGCCCCTTAAAATACATGAATGTCAAATCAAAATTGTGAAATTTGAATTTTGATTTTTTCGTCGTGCTCATCAGAGCTTTAAATTTCGTGCGACTTTGGTTTATGAAGGGTGCTACCGGTGGGGCAAGTTTTTGCGGAATTTTTTATCATCCCTATTTGACAATGATTCATATTATGAATAGCGCATTTTTATTATATATACTGATGGAAACGAATAAGAGAACACATGGAAGTACACGCGTTCCAATATTTATTTCATGATTTTCCCCCACAGTTCAATACAAAGTATGCAAAGAAACCTTGAATAAATTTAGTAACACTTGTACTTTAATGTGTTTCCATCAGTATATTTATTCTGTACATGGGGTGGTGGTGGGATAGGCTAGGGGTTACAGCGTTCGCCGAAGACCCGGGTTCGATTCCACACATGGGTACAATGTGTAAAGCCCATTTCTGGTGTCCCGGCGTGATATTGCTGGGATATTTCTAAAAGTGGCGTAAACGTAAAACCACTCACTCACTTCTGTATATGGACAGGGTTTTGTATATTTGACCCAACAAATTGGTTTCTTTTACAGGCCGACTCTTTCCAGGAACTGTTGCGTCGCGTTGCTGTGGGCATGCGCTGTAGTGTCTCCACGGACGCATCCTGCCAACACCTGTCATTAAAAGCATTTCTAATGATATCGGCTCACTGCGTTGGATACCTGTTTCATTTTCTGCTGATCAAGCACGCCGAGGGAGCAATCCTTGCATCTTTAGTTCAAGCCATGAGAACCCCCATCGCGTCTATATTCTGGACGTTGTATCATTACAACGAGGATTTAGATTTGTTGTACTGGTCCCCGGAGTTCAACATAACCACGTGTTTTTTGATAGGAGGACTAATTATTGTGATGCCAGCTATGCTTGTTTATAACTACTTCAGCAATGAGGAAATGAAAAGTGTGTATATGAGGGAACGACAGCTGCTTGTACCTGGCAATGAAAACATCAATTCATAGTGTGGAATCCATCTTTCATAACATGCGGTGTTTGGTCAGAGGTTTGTCATCCACCAATATACTGAACACGATACCCTCCCCTAACGCTTTTCATATTTTAGGGGCGGTTGGGTAGCCTTGTGGTTAAAGCGTTCGCTCGTCAAGACCGGGTTCGATTGCCCACATAGGTACAATGTGTGAAGCCCATTTCTGGTGTCCTTGGTGATATTGCTATGATATAGTTAGAAGCAGCGTAAAACTAAACTCACTCAATACTCCTTATTTTTGAGTGACCCCAATGCCGTTGTATATTTTTTGAATGATTTTCCATGACAGCTTGGTATCCCATTGAGAAATAAAGTATGTGGAGTTGATATGTGTCGGATATAATACCTCCAGGAACATTAACCTCAACCCTTCCAATCCAACCCCTTAATTTGAAGGGGCGGTGGGTTAGCCAAGTGGTTAAAGCGTTCGCATGTCACGCCGAGGACCTGGCTTCGATTCGAACATGGGTACAACGTCATTCGTGACCAACTCGTGTTATTCCGGGACAAACCGAATAGCGACTCGTGCCCCTCTGGAAGGATTTCATATTGGCGTAGGAACATCAGAACTACTTCAAACAGGAACGATAACTCTATTCCTGTTTGATTCCAATGGTACTTAATATCACCGAAGTACTCATACATTGTATTGCTGTTTTTGTTTTTGCTATTTATTCTAAAGAATTAAACCTCCTTGGTACAACTAAAAGAAAGAAAAAAACACATATTTGTTAAAGACATATTCTGACGTAATTATTACCAGATATGCACCTTATACTTCCAAATATATTTCTGAAAAGGGTTTAATAATAACAAATGGGATTTGTTTTATTGAATATGCAAATAAAAGTTGTAAAAAAAACCCTGCTACGTTAAATCCCAAAGCAGAAACTCAAAAAATGACTTTTAAAATATTTCTCAAACTGAACATACGTGTAACCTTGCTGTCATACCACAAGTGGACTTTTAACTGAATTCGCTGAAAAATATATGAATGACCACAAGAAGGTCAGACTAAAATATTCCCAGAGAATTGAAATATATGCCCAATGTTATATATTAAAGTTGATTAGGTACATAAAGATATAATATTACTGTTTTAAAGCTCGTAGCGATTTATAATTACATTTCCTAAAATTGTTGGAAGCGCACGTACAATCTCCATAGCAATCTCGTCAGAAACACACTCGGTTGGACCCATGAGAGCCGTTATGGCAACAAACGCACGTGCGTGTATTTGAATCTCTCGCCGTCAATCGCATGATTCTTATCCAAAACACCATAATAGGCAGCAAAATCCTGTAAGCTAAGTTCTTTGTACTTTCAATATGACGATATATATTTTTCATGATTTTTTAAACAATGACATAATGCCATAAACGATTTAAGTACTCGGGATTATTTTTACCAAAGCGCCGCAGTCATTTACGCGCGTTCTGATTGGTTTGTCGTATATTCGCACATAACAAGTATCGAGAGGGGGACGAGTCTTCTTGCAGGTTACGGAAAGGGGCGTGATATTCCTGCTCCAATATTGCTAAAAGCGGCGAAAAACTCAACTCACCCACTCACCATAATTTGAGGCATGGTTAATTTTGTCTGACATCGAATTTGTTACATTAAACTCGACCCTCAATACAATTATATTTTGTATGGTACCAACGCTTACGCGGCTTCTATACTGGTGTAACTGAGACACAGAACAAGAACTGAATATTTGACACCACTTTAATGATTTCAGAAAATATGCGCCGAACTGCCTCCGATGAAGAGTCCTGAAATAAAATATACATGTATTTGATAATATAAATGTTAATGATAATACAGAAAAGGTATATACTCTATTTCTTTATTTGGGTCCATGACGGGAAAACTGGGCATGCGGCAAACTGTACTTCCTGAGACGGAGCACTGGTGGCCCTGTCGCAATTGCAATAGGCTATGCAGAGTTGCGTCCCTTGCGCACGCAAGAAATCGAATAAAAAATGTGGGTTAAAAGCACAGTTCGCCTCGATTATGAAACAAAAATAAGGTGTGAAAATTGAATATTGTTTTAAATGTTAGATTTTATGTTGTGGTAAGAGTTCCTCCCGTTCCCCCATCCCTCTATAATATGTATATATTAATATATATGAATATGATTAACAAACCCTAACACAACAATTCCAAGAGAACTCACAAAAATTAAACAAAGCCCCAAAATTATTTACAATATATAGGGTCGTTGCGTTACCTCTGTTAATCTGCCGAAGAAAGAAGTGGGGGAACGGAAGGAACTGTTTCCTATGTTCTTTAAAGAAGTGATTCATATCAATTTGCTTGTAACCGAAATTGAACATTTTTATGATTCTGATTTAAAATTCTATTTGATATTGCCATCTCAATATTTAGAGTGAGTTTGTTGTTTGTTAACAATTAGGAAGTTCTACGTGATACAAGTCTCATATTATATACCATTTCGCTGAAACACAACATGGGTATGGTTCTGACAAAACTAGAAACATGGCGATTCTATGATTCGAAGCCTACGAACAACGTTCCTGTCGACAGGGAGGCAACTCTGAAGAGTGAGTCAGTGAGTTGGGTTTTACGCCGCTTTTAGCAATATCACGGCGGGGGGTACCAGAAATGGGCTTAACACATTGTACCCATGTGGAGAATAGAACCCGGGTCTTTGGCGTGACGAGCGAACGCTTTAACCACTAGGCTACCCCACCGACCCAAAACTCTGACTGATTCCTTGTCCCGGATATTTCTTATATACTCTTCCAAAAAAGTAGGGGAACTTCATTTTAATTTACGATTGAAAAAATTGGGAGATATATCGGAGTCAATCAATGTTGATGTGATAATGTTTGGAGAATGCATCACCACTTGCACTTCCTTATGACCATAGTTGTTTGTACAGTAATCGCTCTTGAAAGTTGATTGGTGTATGACGTGAAATTTGCAAGTGTGCGATTTTCATTTTTTTAAAAGAAACAAAACGGCCAGAAACAAACACTAACAACTGTGTGATGCAAGGTGATTTATACTTCCTATTCAACTTGAAAGTTTAGGTTCCCCAACTTTTTTAAAGAGTAGGTTCCGTCATGTACAATTACTCACATGTTAGTAGTAGAAGTTCCGGTTCGCCATGCTGCTAAGTAAACGGCTTTTCCTCCGTCCGCTTCCATAAAACTTCAGCTTTCCAGTAAACTCAATCACTACTTGACGGTTGGCAGGCCTAGGATCATATAATTCCGATTCGTAACCAGTATAGGCATTGGGAACCTCGGGCTCTGAAGGGTAGGGGTCGTAGCCGGGCTCTGAAGGGTAGGGGTCGTAGCCGGGCCCTGAAGGGTAGGGGTCGTAGCCGGGCTCTGAAGGGTAGGGGTCGTAGTAATCACGTTGTTTGTCGTCATGGCCCGGCTTCTTGTACGTGGCATAGTCATCTTTTCGGCTGTCATAATAATAGGATGGCTCTTTCTTCTCTTTCGAGAATAGCCGCTTGAAAGTAGAAGGCTTCTCCCCTGCAAACGCCCCAATGACGAACATAGCGATAAGGAGCACTTGAGTTACAGCCTTCATTGTTGGACTCTGAAATAGTAAGTGAGTGACTTTTGTTAAAGGCCGCCTTGGACGCTATCGCAGTAACGTTAGTGAGTGTGGTTTTACGCATTATTATTCCAGCAATATCATGGCAGGGTAACACCAGAAATGGGCTTCACATATTGTACCCATGTGAGGGATCGAACCTGGTCTTCAGTATGGGAAGCGGACGCTTTAACCACTAGGCTATCCCAGCTTAATGTGGAGAGAGTGCTTGGAGTGATTCAGGTCCCAGACGTTGACAAACCCGTACAATTCGCAAGCACGGGTAAGGTGATGGCACACTTAGAAACATAACCGGGGCGGACATGGATTCGAACCCACAGCCACAAATTTCTGTCTGCGTTCGCTCGTCACGCCGAAGACCCAGGTTCGATTCCCCACAATGTCTGAAGCCCATTTCTTGTATCACCAGCCGATATTGCTGGAATATTGCTAAAAGCGGCGTAGAAGTAAACTCACCCACTCACCCTAACGTGTCAAAGGGACGCAACTCTGCACCGCAAAATGCGGCACCACACCACACTGGGCCACCCGTGAGTGAGTGATTGACTGACGGTAAGTGAATGAATACAACTGCAGTCCAGCTATATGCAGTTCCGCCATATAGCTGGCATATTGCTAGGTGCGGCGTAAAACTAAACTCACACCCAAGAGTCGCGGTATATTGCCCCTGGTAGTCTACTGTTGTCAGTAGAAACATGTTTCCTATTCTTCAAAAATATTTCCAAATTTAAGAAGCTATATTTTCCTAACCATAATATGATTCAATCCCAAAACTTCGTAAAACCAAAGCCATTTGAAGCCATGACGAATGTAAACGCAACGTCAACATCAACGTCAACGTTTATATAGTCCGCAATATCTACCGAAACAGATTCAGCAGAGTATAAATGGCAACGTTGTAATGAACATTATGAGAATGTATGACTGAACATCCGTAACGAAAAGAGCTGTGTTTATTTTTGCAGTAAAGTGGGTACGCTTCAGGAGCACCTGCTACATCATAGGTGCCGGTGACTCCATGTAATTTTCAAAACATTTCTCTTTAGATGTAGCACTACATCCTGGAAGAAATATATCCGAAAAATGTCCGTTCAAGTCTATATTATTTGGCAAGTCTGAAGTAAGCAAATCTGAAAATGATGAAAGTTTGGGTTTTTTAAAATTCTATCTTAGTAACATACATTACGAACTTTTCTTCTGTAAAAGTTTCATTTCAGAGATTAGATTCTTGATGCAGCACATTTACTGGTTTATGTAACATAAACCAAGAAAAACGATATAGATATTTAATAATGGAGCGGTTTTGGGTTCACTGTAAACAAACTAATACTTTGTTAATTATTTTGGTGTTCCACTTAACATTATTCACGAAATGCAGGTACAGGAAAACTGTATTAACATACTTTCTTTGACCATGCCTGTATTTCCAGTTTAAAGAAACAATATTGATTGACTGACTGACAATACGTTATTCCGTCCCGAAGGACTGGATTATCTGGTCCAGACTCAATTATTTACAGACCGCCGCCATACAGCTGGGATATTGTTGAGTGTGGCGTTAAACAGCAACCAAACCAAACCAAATCATGATGATGATCTCTGGATTGCCTGGTCTGGTCCAGACTCAATTATTTATGGACCGCCGCTATGCATACAGCTGGAATATAGCTGAGAGCGGCGTTAAACAACAACCAAACCAAACCTCACGCTGCAACGAAGAAGCTCTAACATCGGACGTTTGACGCCGCTATTACAGTTTAATTTTACATTTCGATGTCCCCAAAATATAAAAATGAAAATTATTTCAACACAGGAAATGTCAGATAAATTTCAGTCACACATCATGCATCGCTCATATCCCTTATTTGAATCTAACCCTGTAGTATTTCGTACAAGGAACATCTTTATATCTTGGTAATCGGGCTGATAATTACAGTTTATATAGTTTGCAAAGTTGGCGACCCACCTCAACGATCCCTTCCACCACGTGCTGCCGTTGTTGTGCTCGACCGATTATAATCATCTTTATACACTGGAAATTGCATTTTGAAAAAATCACACATTCATTTATTTCTCATTAGGCTTTTCCCCGAGCTTTGCCCTGGGGAACATTAACCCTGTATCTAGTGATAATGACACGATGCGTACCACTAGTTATGCTCGACAGAAAAATAGTCAAAAAAGCTTAAACATTTACAAAAATATTTCAGTCAATCCAGTGAACCCGAAAACTCAGTTTTCCGAATTATGCTAGTTGGGGACAACTAATTAAATATAGGGCCCTGCAAATCCGAAAACTCCATCTTCCCAGTTTGGGACGACTAATTTAAATGTAAGGCCGTGCAAATAAAAAACCCAACATCTTCCCAGTCATACTAGTTGTGGACGGCTTCTTTAAACGAAAGGCCCTGTAAATCCGAAACTCCATCTTCCCAGTTATACTAGTTGTGGACGACTAATTTAAATGTAAGGCCCTTTATATCCGATAAATCGTCTTCCCAGTTATACTAGTTGTTGACGACTAATTTAAATGTAGAGCCCTACATATCTGAAACTCCATCTTCCCAGTTATACTCCTTGTAGACGACTAATTTAAATATAAGGCCCTGTAAATCCGAAAACTCCATCTTCCCAGTTATACTAGTTGTGGAGGACTCATATAAATATAGGGCCCTGTGATTGTATTGGGTCCAATCCGAATGTAATATTGAATAACCTCCCTTGGTATCAAAATCATGAAATTAACATATTCGATTTTCGACCAGGCCTTATAGATTTTGAAACGTTTTTGACAAAATCTATTTCGATAATTTTGTATCAATTATAGATTACTTGAATGACCAACCGGCACATGTACAAACGTTAACCATGCGTAAAATCTAGTCATAAAATTCGTCGTCATTAAAGGAGCGATGGAGTCATTCTGACACGACACGGCTCTTACTTTGGACACTTTGGGCGAAATGCCTTCAGGAGCATCATTGACAGGGTGACCTATTCTAAATTTGGCCATTGCAATATTGAAACGCCTGAAAATGTGGAACTGAACACTACCTGATCAATTGCTGTGGGAGAAATAACAGAAGTCCTGTTCTTGAAGCTAATGAAATATTTCTCCAGCTACAGTTTTTGGCCTCAGTGCCGTTTATGACTACACGCAAAGGGGTGTTTTAGATTTTGTGTCGTCATTGGGCAAATAGGAAGTAATTTTGCTGAGCTTTCGAACAGCTTCAACAGACTGTATACTGTGATATGTTATGATTTGTGTCATGTTGATCGTCTGCTTTTATATTGAACGAGTATTTACTGTTTCAGAAAGAAAGGTGCTTAAATATGTTGGTATATTGCTAAAACATGCATAAATCTACATGTTAACCATCGACTAATTCTGAAAGTTAATCACTTACAAAGAGATAGTCCTTAAAGTGCAGGGGCAAATTTCAAATTTCTGCAGAGTCGATTGTACAATATCGATCATATCATGCAATCATGACTCACTAATCATTATCACATTTTTAAAGGTTCCTCGGGCTTTTGAATAATCTTTTAAAAAATACAACATAAAAATAAATACATACATTTTTCAAGAGGATTGTAACTTTAGGGTAATATTGGCATAAAAATACTTCCGATGCTTACCCAGTGACACAAGTGTTACTATGTCAACCCAAGCTATGAAATCTTACGAGCTTTATCTCTTCCAGCTGATTTAACAATAAAATATATCGAGCAGTCGTAAACGGTCAATAACTCTAAGGCATGCCTGCCACACTATCACACTTAAAAAGTGTTTGCTTCAAGTACTATCCTCTTTACATGTACGTAATGTGCATTCCTGAGGGCAATTACGAAATATATATTAAAAATTCAATCTTTGTGAATCTCAATCTTCGATGATCACGTGTCATACGTTTCAATTTTATTTTCATAAATACCTACTCGCTTCAACCATTTCGTTCTGAGGCTAATTTCAGTGGCATAAAAGTAGCCCTGCTGAAAAACTGCTTTCACCAGCTGAGTCGGAGACTTGAGCAGTGGGTTTTTACCTCTCTTCCAAAACGACGCTACAGCAGACCATGCCATATAGGTTCATGATATTCATCAGCTTAGATATAAATAGAAACGACAAAACCCGTTAAGTATCAGTAAGAAATCTGTGCTAAAACAAGAGGTGATTGTCAGGCGCATAGCAAGCCAATTTTCGTTTAAGCTCGTTAGGTTGCAAAGTTTTACATTTAGATAGTTTTGGGGATTTGCCTAACTTTCTTAGCAACAATCATGTGTAAGCCCGGGTTTATTTTATAACGGTACCTACGCCCCAGATTGTATAACTCAGATTATATCATGAGTATGTCTTTGTTTGACGCCGTATACAGCAGCATTACAAACAATCCAGTAAGAAAAGAGTCATTCGAATACACAACAAGGGGGGTTCGATTCCCCCCATTTCTGGTGTCCCCTGCCGTGATATTGCCGGAATATTGCTAAAAGTGGCGTAAAACCATACTCACTCACTCACAACAAGTGGATCTGCCTTGACAGCTGTGTAAATATAACATAATTAATGATTTAAACATTATGCATGCTTGCTTGTGAGCACATAACACAGTTGAGCCAGTTTACAAATCAGTCTTGGTATTAACGCCCATTCGATAACGCAAACATGACACCGATGTTACAAAGTGTCTTGCAAGTAGGGGCGACTAATGACGAGGAAACAACTATTGCAACAGCGATAGTCTATTGCGACCAACTATTGCAATACTATTGCAATAGCTTTTTTCTCCTTTGAAGTCATTTCCCACATGGTTGTATAGTTTATATGAATTAAAAACAAGTTGAAGTTGTTTCAGTCACTTTTAATAACTGGCAAGAAACTTGAAACCAAGATCAAATAAACCGCCATGTTTGTTAAAGAGGTAACATGGTCGGATAACTCTAAATCAAAGTGAACGAATCTGGTACATCCTGTA